CAGGTGCGGGAACTAACGGCAGCCAGCTCTTGCGGTTGCACAAGACTCTGCGCATCCAGGGCTCCCTGAGTGCTGGTGAAGGGAGGCTGGAGAAGCAGGAAGTGTGGTCATGGCCCTTGAGGCCATGTGTGCATGTGATGGTGAGGAGAGGGGTTCAGGGAGGAGGCACAGCAAAGAAACTCTGCATGCCCTTGGTTTCTCCACACCCTGGGCTTTGCACTTGGCCTTCAAACCGGCACATTGGCCCTCTGCAAAACTGCGAGAGATGAGCTGTGGCTCCCGAGGTGGGGCCAATACGGCTGTGTTCCCTGGGGAGGCAGGGCCCCATCCTGCCTGCACCCTGCAGTGTTGCAGCCTGACGCTGCTGCCTTCTCCTTCAGTGCATCACCAACAGTGCCCGGGAAAGGAAGATCAACTCATCCCTGCAGCTCCCAGACCGAGTGCTGAACTTCCTCAAGGACCACTTCCTGATGGATGGGCAGGTCCGCAGCCACCTGCTGCTGCTTCAGCCCCAGGCCCGCTACCAGCGTGTGGCTGTACACCGTGTCCCTGGCCTGCACCATACCTACGATGTGCTCTTCCTGGGCACAGGTGAGAGCCTGCAGCGTGGCAGGCTTGGGGGAGGGGGTGTGGCTGGTGGTCATGGGCGGTGCGCTCCCTGCAGGGCCTGAGTCCTGTCTATGCTCCAGGTGATGGCCGGCTACACAAGGCGGTGGACGTAGGCTCCAGGGTGCACATCATCGAGGAGCTCCAGATCTTCTCCCCAGAACAGCCCGTGCAAAACCTGCTTCTGGACACCCACAGGGTAAGCAGACAAAGGAGGAGTCTGGGCATTGTGTGCTTGGGGGTGCCCCTCCAGTATCACTAAGCAGCCCCCGCCCAGCTTGTCTTCCCTAGCCCCAGCAAGATGGAAAGATACGGGATCCAGGCTCATGGCACAGGCTCTCAGAAAGTGGGGATGCCAGGAACATGATGGAGGCCCCTTGGGGTGGTCTGGTGGGCATGTGAGCCAGGTGTGGCATGGGTGATGGCCCTCGTTACCATGCCCTCTCTCATCCGCCATGTCTGGCTGTGCAGGGGCTGCTGTATGCTGCCTCATACTCGGGTGTAGTCCAGGTGCCTGTGGCCAACTGCAGCCTGTACCACAGCTGCGGGGACTGTCTCCTTGCCCGGGACCCCTACTGTGCATGGAGTGGCTCCAGCTGCAGGCATATCAGCCTCTACCAGCCTGAGTTGGCCTCCAGGTGAGAGCTCCCAAAGGCCCCCTTCCCCTCATCCATCCCTGCGCACTGGGCCTCAGAACACCTTGCCTAGGCCCTCTACAGGATCACTAAATGGCCTCATTCACCTCCATTGTCTGAACATAATTATTAGTTAGCTTTCTTGCTTACTCTGAAAAATGTTGTAGTTCTGACAGTAAGTTTATATGTTTGTCTTACCTACCTATCTGTAAAGCAGGGACATGATTTAATAAAGTATGAAATGTCACAGCTATGAAAAGCCTTGCAGGAGAATGGGGATTGGCATGTGAATGTGTTTTAGTAATAATAAGGGCTACAAAACGGTCCTTTAACAAACCCATTAAAAATTGGTTTTGGAATAAGCTATTTGGATTGTAAAATGTTCATTTAGAAAATAGGGATGAGCATGAACAAAATAAAAACTACCCCTCCCCTTACTGGCCAGCTGCCAGCAACCAACCAACCTAACCCCAACCCCACCACCTAGAGAGAATCACAGTGAGATTTTGATATATTACCCTCTCAGATTTTTCTACATGTGTAAAATAAACGAAAATCCATGTATTCTAAACAAAAATGAGATCTGTCCCATTTGTGGTGTTCTTGCTTCACATGTGGATGGACATAACTGGTGTCAGTTTTGTATTTCAAACAACCAGGCATGAGCATATATACATACACCTGGAGGACACACCAGAAATGTTAACTGTCGTGATCGCTGGATGGTAGATGATATGTAATTTTTGTAGTGTTTTTATCCTTTGTGTTTGCTTGAGTTTTCCATTTTCTGAGTGCATCAGTAATTACTTCTTCATTATTTTTTATTAAATAAATGAATGCATGTGCATTTCTAAAAAAGAGACATATACATACTTACAGATCCAGCTGTTCTTCCAGACTTTTTCTGAGGGTACATAGTGCTTTTCTAATTAAGGGAAATAGTATAGTAATTTTCATTTGAAATAATGCTGATTCAAAGCCTGTGGTGGTGGGGAATCAGCTCAGGGCAGTCTCTCATTTGGGCCTGGCAGGCTGAGTGCTAGATCCCTTACCCAGGCTGAGTCTGTATTGAGCCGTGAGGGAACATGGGCTCACAGGGCTTCCTGGCCTATCCTAGACTTTCTCTGTTCCCCAGACCATGGATCCAGGACATCGAGGGAGCCAATACTAAGGATCTCTGCAACAGTTCCTGGGACAGGCCCCAGTCTATTGTACCAACAGGTAAGGTGCCCCCTCAAAGGGTGGAGGAGAGAAGTGGGGGCCAAGTCTGCTTGGAAGGCTCCTCAGGCGTGTAAATGCCTTTTCTCATATGCTCATCCCTCCAGCCCTGCATGCAGGGCCCCAGAAAGTGAGACTCAGACAGTCCTAGGAGTCCCAGTTGCCCGTCATGGCCCCAAGAGCACAGTCCCCCCACCCCGTGCCTCTTTTACCCGCAGGCGAGAAGCCATGTGAGCAAGTCCAATTCCAGCCCAACACAGTGAACACCTTGGCCTGCCCTCTCCTCTCCAACCTGGCGACCCGGCTCTGGCTGCACAATGGGTCCCCTGTCAATGCCTCGGCCTCCTGCCGTGTGTTGCCCACTGGAGACCTACTGCTGGTGGGCAGCCAGCAGGGGCTGGGGGTGTTCCAGTGCTGGTCGCTAGAGGAGGGCTTCCAGCAGCTGGTGGCCAGCTACTGCCCAGAGGTGATGGACGACAGGGCGGCGGACCGAACAAATGGGGTCGGCAGCATGCCTGTCATCACGTCAGGTGTGAGTGCGCCAGCTGGTGCCAAAGCCAGCTGGGGTGTGGACAAGTCCTACTGGAACGAGTTCCTGGTGATGTGCATCCTCTTTGGGCTCGCTGTGGTGCTTCTGGTTTTATTCTTCCTCTACCGGCACCGGGACGGCATGAAAGTCTTCCTGAAGCAGGGAGAGTGTGCTAGTGTGCACCCCAAGACCCGCGCTGTGGTGCTGCCGCCTGAGATCCGGCCGCTGAATGGCGTAGGCCCTCCTACCTCCCCACTCGACCACCGAGGCTACCAGACGCTGTCAGATAGCTCTCCCAAGCCCCGGGTCTTCACCGAGTCAGAGAAGAGGCCACTTAGCATCCAAGACAGCTTTGTGGAGGTGTCCCCAGTGTGTCCCCGGCCCCGGGTCCGCCTGGGCTCTGAGATCCGTGACTCTGTGGTATGAGAGCTGACTACTAGAGGAGGCCACCCTGGCTTCAGGAGCCATGAATGCTCAGAGGGGGCGGCTACACCTCCACTTCTCCTGGAACACAGCCTCGGTGCCTAGCCCTCAGGTGCCTTGGGGCCAGCTGGCCTACTGCTCTTCAGCTAAGTAGTGAGGCCCCACAAACCAGACAGCCATGGTCCTGAAGGTCCTGCCTGAAGATGGGGCCTGCCCAGTGGGCAGAACAATGCTCCTGATGTAAACTGAGCCCTTTGTTTAAGAAACAATAGAAAATGTGAAACCAGACAGAGAGGGAGAGAGACAACACGCAATGGCATGCACATGGCCACTCTAGTTCACAGCCTCCTGGCCCCCCGGGGGTGTTGGAGACTCATCCAAAATGGTTGTTTGAGACAGAGTTGGAAATTCTTCACCAACTGGCCTCTTCCACCTTCTGCCTTACCCTACTGCCACAAGCTGCCCTTTCTCACTGCAGAGCCAGGGGCCAGCTTGGGCTCCGCAGGTGCTGCCTTGCCAGCCAGCCAGCCAAGGATCTAGTTGTTGCCGCCATCATCCTACAACCTCAGGGACCAGAGGGCCAGGCTGGCACTCCAGTCCCCACCTGGCCCTGAGCTCAGACCCAACTCGTGGACCTTTCCAGCCTGTATCAGGCTGTGGCCACATGAGAGGACGGCGTGAGCCCAGAAGAGTTTATGACAATGTACACCTTTCCCTTGGAATACAAGGAAGAGACTGATACCTGCCTTCCTCCATTCCAGCCTGAAAAAGCCTGAGTGTCCCCTTCTACCACATCCACCCTAGCCCCACATTTGAACACAGACACAGGAAACTAACTGTACCCTGTCTTCTCCCCAGTCCCCAATTCACCCGTCACACCTTGCCTGCCTCTACTCTAAGGGATAGTGACAATGTCCAGCACAGGGGCCCTGGATTTATGTGGGTTTTATATTTTTTTTAATAAGATGCACTTTAATTTTTTTAAAAATAAAATCTGAACAGTTATTGTTTAATCATGGCCCTTCCTCTTAAAGGGCTGCTGCTTTTTCAGGTTGGACTAGTTCTGAGTTCTGGGGGAGTTCTGAGCCTCCTCTTTCCAGGGACCAGTGAGCCAGTCAGCCTACCCTGGCTGACGACATCTCGCAGTGGAGCGTAGCTCTTAGGTGGGGAGTTTAACCCACTGATGAGCAGGGGCGAGGGATTCATTTGGTTTACCTCAGCCACTTTACTCTGCATCCCCGGTTCAGTTCAGCAGAGGTGGGGACGCAGGGGACAGGGCCTTTTTTTCCTTAACTATTTAAAAATCTTAATTTCTCAAATGATCACACAGTAAAATTGACTTTTTTCTTTTGGTGTATGGCTCTTTGAGTTTTAACATCTGTAGAAATTCATGTAACCAGCACCACAATCAGGATACGGGAGTGTTCCATCCCTCACAAACTCACCCGGGGGTGGGCGGCGTGAGGGTGTGGTTTGACTTCCCACTGGCCCCTTCTTTAGATGGTGCTTATTCCTAGCATGACTGAAGGCTCCTGGAAGTTCAATCCTTCCTCATACCAGTGTTTCTAGTGTTACAAATAAACAGGGTCAAAACTTCTAAACGTTTATTAATGATTAGTAGAAACACAAACGGAGCGATGACAATGGCGGTGAGAAGGGAAGAGGCCCTGACAAGGAGGGCGCTCCCCTACCTAGGGCCAGACTGCACAGTGCCAGCTCCAGGCTGGGCCAGCCTGGAGCTGGCCCAGGCAACACAGGCTTAACCTTGGCCACAGCTCAGCAGTGGAAAAGTTCTTGGACAGGGTGCTGGGACACATGCTGGGGCGCTGTCACAGGACAATTTTAAAGGAGCTGAACGAGAAAAGGGGTTGGATTTTCTGTTGGAAGAGGAGGGTAGAGACTAAGCCCAAACTAACCCACCTCTCCCCAAAGACCCTTCCTTGGAATGGGCTGTGTCCCATGTATGTCAGTCCCTTTTGGAAGAAGAGTTACCTGAGACAGGAAGCAAGGGGCTTTCTCTCACCCCAGCACCACCTCCAGAATAAGGTCCCAGAGACCGAGATGAAGCAGATGGGGACTTGTAGTTACCCAGAATGCACAGGGGGACCACTGTCATACCTGGCAAAGTCCGGTGAACGGGAGATGACGTGCTGGAATTCAGAGAGATTGATGGTCCCATCCCTATCAATGTCGGACTCTTCCAGGATCTGGGAAAGGGAGAGCTTCAGGCCAGAGCCCCAGCCCTTCCCTCCTGCTCCCAGGCCCAGCTGGCGAGCTAGGCCCAAGCCTGCCAGCTGCTCACATTGTCAATGAGCTGCTTCATTTCTGCAGCACTGAGCCGGGTGTCCTCGCCCTCTCCTGTGAGGCAGTTCACGAGCCGGCTCAGGTCTTCTCTGTTCAAGGTTCCATCATCATCAAAGTCTAGAAAGCAGACACAGGAAGCCGAAATGGGCATGGTCAGGAAGAGCTCCAAGGTTTCACAATGGCCCCCACTCGCTAAGCAGTGCTGCCACAAAGCCCATGGGGGAAGGGGTGGTGTTCCACTAGGCTCCTCCTGGTCCTTACCGAAGATACGGAAGGCATAGTGGGACTTGATGTCTGGGGTTGCTGTGTCACTAAACACACTGAGGAGGTCCAAGAAGTCCTCGAAGCTCAGGCTGTCTCTGGTTGGGGATGTAGAGAAGACCCTGCAGATTCGCTCCTTGAAGGGGTTTGTCTAGGCAGGAGAGTCTTCTGTGAATGCCACAGGACACAGCCTGGGGCCACACTCATCAAACCCTACCAGAAACTTGAGGGACCAGGTTACAGTACCAGCACCATGGAGCTCAGGCTTATGAGGGAGAACAACCAGTGCCTTGGGCCAGCATGGAAGACCTTGAGGTCACAGGAAGGCAAACTGACCCAGCTGGGGAAGGGCCAGAGGTGGCTTCCTGGGAGTCAGTGTTTAACCCAAAGGCCAATCATATACAACATAAGTGGGGGCAGAGTGGGAAGAGGAAGGCATTCTATGCAAAGGGAGGAAGATGGGCTGGCTATTTTAAAACACAAACTTTTTTTTTTTTTTCCTTTTTGTCTTTTTTCGTGACCGGCAACAGGATCGCAACCCTCGGTGTTGCGCCCGCACCTCACTCAGCCAGTGAGCGGCGGGTCTGTATGTGGGATCCGAACCCTCGGCGGGAGCGCCACCACACTCCCAAGCTGCGCACTGTAGCAGTGCGCCACCGGGCCGGCCCTAAAACACAAACATTTAACTGAACAACTACCGTATTACAGACATTGGGCTGGGCCCTCTGCATAGAAGTTTTCACAGCAGCCCTATGGAGTGGCAATCAGCGTCTAAAATAGGATTTCTCAAACTTTAATAAAGTAACTCACCATACTTTTTTTTTCTTTTTTTTTTTTTTTAAGTTGACTGATAAGGGGATCTTAAACCCTTGACTTGGTGTTGTCAGCACCACAGTGAGCTAACCGGCCATTCCTATATGGGATCCGAACCCGTGGCCTTGGTGTTATCAGCACCACATTCTCACAAGTGAGCCACAGGCTGGCCCTTCAACTACTCTTAAAGGACAAAACTTCTTTGAAATTCCCAAGAATATGTCCTAGTACCCCAATTTGAAAAGTACCATTCTAGATAATTCTACTGGGTGATTTTGGTAAAGCCTTTGCCCCCCGGAAATCAGGACTAAGCAGAGAAAAGACCAGAATGGAGACCGATGAGACCATGATCTCAAAACAAGTGGCAAGAAGAGTTAGGGAGTCTAGCAGAGGGAGTCGGTGTGGAGGGGGTGGAGGGCTTGCACCTTGAGCTCTGGAAGGCTGAGGATCTGCTCGAAGGACACTTGTGCCTGCAGTGATTCCTCCATGCTCCGATGCTCCTGGGGAAGCAGCTCACAAAACCGCCTGTGCGCTCTGGCAGAGAGAGGGGAACTTGCTGACACTCTCAAGCAATCAGTCTCTCTATGTGTATTACATCTCCACTCCTTATCTTGCTACCCATTATAAACCAGGTGAGGAGCTAAGGTCACATACATAAAACTTCCGAGTCATCAGACAACAGTAAATCAAAGGGAGACATACCACAAGAAAGAGTACAGTGGGAGTCCATTCTTGCAATGGGTATTTACTGAGGGTCTACTGTGTGCCAGGCACTGTACGGGGCACTGATTCTAGAGATCCCCAAGGGATGGAGAAGTTGGGGAAGAAGCCAGAAATTGGCTCTGAAGAACAGAGAGATAAGAGCAAAATCAAAACCTCACTCTCACTTTCACTTCAGGATCTGCTCCTCAAAGCCTCCCTCTTTTTAGCAGCTATCTGGAACTATCCTCCTCCTCAGCCGCCACCTCCTTCCCACAGGAATTATCTTTGCCAAGGGAAGCCCAGGAATCTCCTCCCTCAAGTGTCCTGGCCGCATAAAGCTGACACACAGCTAGGAAACGGGGTTCTAGCCCAATTCAAATCCACTTACTGGGAGTGTGGTCTCTGAACCTGTTTCATTGTCCTGTACCTCCCTCCTGAAGATTAAATTAGGTAATGTAGGCAACCACTCAGCACAGTTCCTGGCACATGGAGAGTGCTTTGATAAGCGTTAATGGTTACTGTGCAGGTAAAGTTGGGAGGAGCCAGGCTTCCCAAGGCTTTTCTTCTTTTGCCAGTAGGCAGAGTCGGCCTAGAGCCACAGCAGCCCCTGCCGGACTGGGGCAGGAAGTTCGGTGGTGCAGAAGCCAGCAAAGGGCATGGTCAAAGAGCGCCCAACTTTTCCTGGAATCTACGACGTGGCTCTGCGGTGTGAAGTTGGGACCCCGGACGCGGGCGGGGAGGATGTGCCTGGAGGAGGGCGCGGCCCGGGTTTGGACTCCTGGCCTCTAGTTTCAGCTCCGCTGCTGACCTCAGGCAAACCCCTGCCCCTCTCACCCGGAGGGCCTCAGTTTGCCCATCAGTAAGATAGTGTCCCCCCCACCCCCCAAGCTGTCTCTAGAAGATTCCGAGGTCGAAGATAAGGTTCGAAGAAGCACTCACAGGAGGATCTCCTGCTTGGTCAGGAACGTCAAGTCCTGGAAGGCAAAGCCAGAGACCGGGTTAGCGGGGCGCCCTGAGGCCGCCGCCTCCGCCCGCTCCGGGACCCCGTTCCCGGGCGCAGGCCCGCACGCGAGCTCCCCGGGGACTGGCGACCCGCGCACCTGGTACTCGGCTAGCAGCTCCTTAGACAGGCGACTGCCCGAGCCCCCCATCACCGCGCCGCGCGCACAGCTCCACCAACTCGCCTCGGGTCGCCGGCAACTTTCTCACTTCCGCCTTCGGGCCGCGTCACCGCCCCTCCCCGGCAACCGCTCCTGGGGCCAAAGCTCCCGGGCCCGCCCCCTCCTTACAGCGCCCCGGCGCTCCCAGCCGGGTTTAGCCAGCCAGCTTCCCGCTCCGGGCTGTCCCAGGCGAGCTGGGGGCGGGGCCCGGGGCGGGGCCCAGGCCTCACGGCCCCGCCTCCGGAGTGGGCAGGGCGGGTCACGCCGTGCGTGTGCGTGCAGGCTGCGCAAGCGTCAAGGAGGTCGCGACCTCCCTATGGTCCTGGGAGCTGTTGCGGAGGAAGTCGCGCGGTGTATCCGCCTCATCTGCAGCAGAAGGTGGCGGCGGTGGCGGCGGTGGCGGCAGCCCTAGGTGGGGTCCGGTAAGGGGCGTGCATCTAGGAAATCCCGCTCCGGGCTGTCCCAGGCGAGCTGGGGGCGGGGCCCGGGGCGGGGCCCAGGCCTCACGGCCCCGCCTCCGGAGTGGGCAGGGCGGGTCACGCCGTGCGTGTGCGTGCAGGCTGCGCAAGCGTCAAGGAGGTCGCGACCTCCCTATGGTCCTGGGAGCTGTTGCGGAGGAAGTCGCGCGGTGTATCCGCCTCATCTGCAGCAGAAGGTGGCGGCGGTGGCGGCGGTGGCGGCAGCCCTAGGTGGGGTCCGGTAAGGGGCGTGCATCTAGGAAATCCCTGGAGCCGGCATATTCGGGAAACCTCGAGGCTCGCTGAGTGGCCGGAGGTAGTCGGCTTCCCATCTGCCCGGAGAGGGCTTTTCCGGATGTTATCACGGGCACCGCACGTGTTGCAGCCCCCATGGCACCTCTTCCAGAAGTAACCGTAACCTTGCTACATGTTGATGCTGTTTATTGAGTATGTCAAGCACTGTGCATAGTTGTCTTCGATTCTTGCAACAGCCCGGCAAGGTAGGTTCCCAATTTACAAACGTGGAAATACATAGGTTCAGAGGGTTTCAGTGACTTGTCCGGTCTCGGGCATTTAGAAGTGGGTCTGGTCCAAGGCTCTTTTCAAGGCTCCCACTGCTGTTTTCATCATTCCAGCTTACATGCTCTCCTGTCACCCCACCCCACCCCACCCGCAGACTGTGTGCTCTTGTGCTGTAGGGACCAAGGCTTTTTCCTCTTTCAACCCCTAGGATAATGCTTGGCACAGTAAATATTTATCTCTCAGTAAATATTTATCCTGTGCACACTTGAATAAATGAACCTATATCACTCCACAAGGTGAGGATTCCAAGCTGCTGGGAGGAGGAAAGGGAGATGGGAGTAGTTCTTGATCCTTCCCATTCATTCTACTTGCTGACCTTTGTAAAGTCTAAACCTGAGCATGTCAGTCTCAGTTTAAAATCACTAAATGGTTAAAAATCCAAATCCTGGCCCTCCATAACCACACTTCCTTCTCTCTCTCTGCCCTTTTCTGTTGGTTCTCTGTGTTTCAGCCACTATAGACTCTCAGTTTCTCTTCTGTATTATTCATAAAGCTTTTCCTGACTCCCTAGACTAGATTAGGAATCTGCACGCGAAGAGTACCCAGTGCTTCTCCTTGACAGCTTGTATCTTGTTTGCAATTTATGTTTATTGAGTGACGATTGGGTTTATGTCTGTTTCTCCACTAGCCTGCAAGCCCCATGAGGAGCTGTGGAGGACCATGATCCCTAGAACCTGATAAGTGATTGTTGTTCAGTACATGCTTGCTGAGTGTAGTTTTCCCAGCACTCGATAATAAGATGATCATCTGAGAGTGACTCTAAATGACTCACTACATCATGGGCCGGCCCGTGGCTCACTTGGGAGAGTGTGGTGCTGATAACACCAGGGCCATGGGTTCGGATCCCGTATAGGGATGGCCAGTTGCTCGCTTGGGTGAGCGTGGTGCTGACAACACCAAGTCAAGGGTTAAGATCCCCTTACCGGTCATCTTTTAAAAAAAATAAAAATAAAAATAAATAAATAAATGACTCACTACATCAACCTGTGAGTTCCACTGTTGTAGAAATATTCCACTCCATGAAGTGGAGGCTGCAGAGCTATGGGAATACCAAAGCCAATCAAAGTGCCTGGGGTGTAGACCTGTGCCAACCTAGTCATTATTCTCTTGATAGTAGGCTCTTTCTTGTCCAGGAAAGAGTTGGCCTTCTGTTAGTAGAAGGGTAGGCAAAGAGCAAGAAGCTATTACTATATCTCCTGTATTAGACCGAGGAGAGGGAGCGCTGGCCATCCAAGGCTAATACCTGGGCTGCATAGTGATCAGAATCTCTTCATGGTGAAGATATGGGTCTCAGCTTTGTGCCGTGGTGACCAGCTGTGACCTAGATCTCCAGCCACCTCACATGGCTCTGAACCCTTCTTCACTAACAACCTTCCGATTATCATTTTGCTTCCAGGTAGATTTTGTACAGAGGAGAGTCTATAGTGACCAGCCAACAAGAACATTTTGTGACATTTGGCATATTGCTCCTTGTAAATTATTAAATAGGCATTGTGAATTGTCTGGCAATCCTTGGTGAATCTGGTCAGCATATTGTCCTTCCTGCACCTGATCAATTCTTGATACAGTAATAAAACTGAGTACTAACATACTTTTTAAAAATAGTGTCCATTGCTGCTTGTGAAATTATTTTGTTTCTTAGTTAGATTTTTCAGAGGTTTGTTTATTGATCAGGTGTTTGTCAAAGTACCAGCTCTTGGTTTTGTGAATTAATTCCAGTTTTTTCATGTTTTCCAAGACATTTTTTTCCTGCTTGTAATATTATTTCTTTCTTCCTGTTTTCCTTGGGACATTAGATAGGATGGCCACACGGGTTTCTCTAAGGCAATGATATATTGTAACATTATGATATTTACGTATTGGTTTTTGTCCACATTCCTGGCTCATGCTACTGTCTGACCTTCTCCTGTCCTCCTTTCACCTGCTCCTTTTTCTGGGAAATCTCTGACAGGAAATTCTCTGACCTACCTTAACTGATTGTAGGTCATAAGACCCCCATTTCAGGAGGAGCCCTGCCAAGCCCTGGAGGAAGCCTGAGAGGAAGGAATGCTGCACGGAGAAGTCAAGACGAACCTGAACAAACAGGCGTCATTATCCTTGTGTCATTCATGCTTACATAATGAAGCTTCCATAAAAGCACAGGGTTCGAGGAGCTTCTGGATAGCTGGACACGTGGAGGTTCCTGGAGGGTGGTGCACCCAGGGAGGGTATGGAAGTTCAGCGCCCCTTCTTCTGTACCGCACTCTATGCATCCTTCATCTGTATCCTTTGTAATATTCTTTTTAACATACAGGTAAATGTAAGTACATGTTTCCCCGAGTTCTGTGAGCTGCTCCAGCAAACTAATGGGGGGGGGGACCCCAGTTTCTAGCTGGTCCGTCAGAAGTTCCAGAGGCCTGGACTTTCAACTGGCTTCTGAAGTGGGAGGCATTCTTGGGGACTGAGTCCTCTCACTGTGGGATCTGAGCTATCTCCAGGCAGATCGTGTCGGAATTGAATTAGAGGACACCCTGTTGGTGTCTGTTGAAGGACTGCTGGCTTGCTAGCCAGTGGGGAGAAATCCCCACACATTTGGTCACAGAAGTCGGTCATCTGTGTTGATTGTGCTGAGAGCAGAGGAAAGACAATGTGTGTTTTTCCCACTCTCACTCAGTTTTCTGTTTTTCCCCGCTTACATACCTTTACACATAGGAGCTGAGACATGAAGGAGTCAGTCTTGTGAAGGAAATCTGGGAGAAGGATGTTTTAGGACAAAAGAACAGAAGGCACCAAGGCCCGGAGCAGGAACAAGATTAGTAAGAGAGTAGAGTGGGCAAGGGGGAGAGATGTATGAGATGAGGCGAAAGAGGGAGGCCCAGCTAAGCCCGCAGAGCCCGGAGGCCACAGTACGGAAATGGACTTTACTCTGGGGGTTCAAGGTCACATACCTGGTGAATGGTAGAACTAGAATTTAAACAACTTGTCGCCTTCCAAAGCCTAATCTCTTTCCATTCTTTCGAGATGATGATACCACCTCGAAGGCTTGTGAGGTTCACTGAGTGGATATGGAAAGTACACTACTGTGGCACAAGATAGACATGCAGTGTTCCTTCCTCTTGGTTTTCCTATAAAGGTTCCTATCTTGTCTCTTAAGTGTCCGATCCTGTTACGTAGTCACTATTGATTTGTCACTATATCAATTTTTTTTTTTTTTTTGGTCTTTTTTCGTGACCGGCAACGGATCGCAACCCTCAGTGTCGCACCGGAATGGGATGGCAAACCCTCAGTGCTGCCCCCGCTCCTCGCTCAGCCAGTGAGCGGCCGGTCTGTATGTGGGATCCGAACCCTCGGCGGGAGCGCCGCCGCACTTCCCAAGCGGCGCACTGTAGCAGTGTGCCACCGGGCCAGCCCAAGTGTTCTTCTTTATTCCTAAGTAAAAGGAACTTAAAATTTACTATTAATATGACAATACCCACTTTCTGTTCATTGATATGTCTTTATTCATATTTTTAGCCATTTGGTGTCATCTTGGTCCTGAGTTCTTGGTCCTAGTCGCTGGCTTTAAATGTTATTGTTGACTTCCAAATTTGTATCTAGCCCAGACCTTACCCTTGACCTCCAGGCTTGACTGTCCGGCTGCCTACATCACTTCTCTTCTTGGAAGCCCTGGCTGCTTCTCAAACCTAATAATCAAAAATAAACTCTTGCTTTCCCCTCCTTCAGTCAGCCTCTTCCCATTTCACCTCCCCAGCTTCTCCATCTCTGTAAATGCCACCTCAGTCTACCTTGTTCCTGAAGCCATGTCATTCCCAGTGCTTCTCTTTCCCTTCGTCCCCATAGCCAAGATGTCAGCAGGCCCTATAGGCTTGGTCTTCAAAACGCGACCTAAATCCCCTGCTCCTCTCTGTGTCTATTGCCATCCCTGCCACCCAGTCACCCTCATCTCTCACATGGCCCACGAGAATGGCCACCTAAATGATCTGTTTCCCCTTTGTTCCCCACAACCCATTTCCACACAGCAGTTAGAAAAAGGTTTATGAAATATCAGACTATTTTTCTGCTTAGGACCTGCGACCATAATGCATAAGGCAACTCTCTAGCCTCATCCCAGACCCTCTGACCCTTGTCTGCCATGCTCCAGGAGCACTGGCCTCCATTCTGCTCATTGAACAGACATAGCACTCAGGGCCTCGGACTTGCAGTTTCCACTACCAAGAACACACTTCCCTCAGCTCCTCATTACTGGCTTCTTCTTGTCCTTCTTAGCTCAGCTGTCATCTCAGAGAGTCCTGCCTTGCCTTCTTATTGAAATAGGACATCTTAGTGACCCTCTGTTGTATCACTTGTTTGTTTCCCACAAAGTGCTATCACCATGGGTAGTTACCATGTTTATTCTTGTTTATTGTGTGACTCCACCACAAGAACATAAATTCCGTAAGGATGGGGACCTTGTTTGCCTTTTTGTGCCACTATGTCCTCATTCCCTCATACTCAGTAGTTACTTCATGGATACTTGGGTTTTGTGGCTCAGTTGAACTTGGAGCAAGATGTACAGAAGAAGTGCCCCCAGAACATCAGGAGTGGGCATGAGTTGGGCATTGAGCATGAATGAATGATTTCTCCCTGGAAGGTTTGGCCCTGGGCAGATATGCACACACTGGGCCATCCTCACCCAAAAGGTTCTATGCGTGGCCATTTGGAATTACCACAGAACAGTGGAAAAGCTGTTCCCACAAAAGAAATGGTCATCTTTGAAACCCTGGGCACTTTCCTACACTGGAACACTGGTACAGTTTTCTGGAGGGCAGTTTGATGAAATGTGTATCAAAAACCTGAGCCATGGACATACTCTGACCCAGTGGTCTCCTGGGATTTTATTTTAAAGGAAAATAAAAACCTTTACAGAAATGAATGAACAGGTGTCCATTGCAACATTGTATATAATAGGATGAAACTAGTTACAGCCTTATAGCATCAAGGTCAAGAATTGGGATCCACATAGTAGCCAGCCAACAGAAACAAAAACTAAAAGAAGCTACAACCTATATGTACACAGTTGAAGATGTTTTGTTTTAAAAAAAGGTCTATCTATATATAATCATGAGGCTAAGTATAAATTGTGATTTTTCCCTGGGCTTTGGAACAAGGGTTGTATTTTATCTTTATTTTTTTCTCCATTAAAACAGTTTACTCAGGGCCAGCCCGTGGCTCACTTGGGAGAGTGTGGTGCTGACAACACCAAGTCAAGGATTAAGATCCCCTTACCGGTCATCTTTAAAAAAAATAAATAAGTAAATAAATTTAAAAAATAAAAAAAAGTTTACACAATCAATATACATAACTTTTACAAAGAAAATATAGTCAATATGTATTTTTAATTCAGCAGAAACATAAGCTCAATTGCATGTGATAAAATTCTGTTTCCTAAATATTTTACCAAAGGCATATATTGATTTTCTAATCAGAAGAAAAAGTAAAAACTATTTGAAAATAAAAATCTCTGGAAGTGGGTTGCTATCAATGTGCTTTTCATCTCTTAGGATTGTTTCAGGTCAGTTTCATGGCTATTCCACCTGATTCCAGTGAAACTTCCTATTTGCTACCTCCAAACAAGGAGGACTGGGAAGGGCAAGGCATTCCTGACTTTGTCTATGGGCAGAAGGAACTTGTGACCAAAGGGATTCAGTGGCCAAGAAATGAGCCTGGTCTCCTGGACGCCCTGCCACTGTCCCGCTTCGACTCTGCGCTCTGCTCTGCCTGGGCGCAGCGGATGGAGCTGGGGCTGTTTCGCTACCGCCTGCGAGAGCTGCAGACCCAAACCCTCCCTGGTGCTGTGGGCTTTGTGGCTCAACTAAATGTGGAGCGTGGTATGCAGAGGAGGTGCCCCCAGAATATCAAGAGCGTGAGGCAGGCATTTGACCCTGAACAGTTTAACTTCAATAAGATCCGGCAGGCAGAAATCCTCTTCCGTTTGCTCCGGGAGCCTGATCTCCCCAGTGCTCTCCAGCAAGAGGACATCTTCGTGGTGATCAATGTCAGCCCCCTGGAGTGGGGCCACGTGCTGCTGGTGCCTGAGCCTGCCCGTGGGCTTCCCCAGCGCCTGCTGCCAGGGGTGCTGCGGGCTGGGATTGAGGCTGTGCTGCTGAGTTTACACCCGGGCTTCCGTGTTGGCTTCAACAGCCTGGGTGGATTGGCCTCAGTGAACCACCTCCACCTGCATGGCTATTATCTGGCCCACAGACTGCCTGTGGAGGGGGCGCCAAGTGAGCCCCTGGATCCTGGGGGCCATTTGCATCTGCTCCAGGCTCTCCCTGCTCCTGGCTTCCTCTTTTACACCAGTGGGCCAGGCCCTGAATTGGAAGCCTTGATAAGCAGGGTATGTTGGGCCACTGACTATCTGACTGACCATGATATTGCACATAATTTGTTTGTGACCCGGGGAGCTCCACCTGGAAAGACATCACTTTCCTCAGCCCTCACAGGGGTCCGAGTAATTCTGTGGGCCCGGAAGTCCAGCTTTGGGATAAAGAAAGGTGATGCTTTCAATGTTGCTCTCTGTGAGCTGGCCGGGCACCTCCCCGTCAAAACATCCCAGGACTTCAGCAGCCTGACAGAGGTGGCTGCTGTGACCCTCATTCAGGATTCTCTGCTGCCCCCAGCTCAGGCAGAAGAGGTACAGGCAGCACTGGTGGCCCTGATGTCCCAGGAAGAGCAGTAATTTTTCCGGAGGTATTTCTTTTCTAGCTGATCTGAGTTGCTTTCCAGAGGGCTGTTCATCGTGGTCACGTGGGCATTTATTTTCATGACTGCCTTCTCACCCATCTCAGTCTAAGAGGAAGGATAAAGAAAGAACTGATAAATGGTCTCTTTAAAGGGGAGAAACCTCAGAATAAACCTAATGAATGAGCTCTCATGGATGTCTCTGCTTCTTCTCACCTTTCTCCTTGGACAAGCCCCAGGGATGTCAAACCTATTGTTAAAAAGGGAGTGTGTGCGAGAGTTACACACTCCTGACTGTATATGGACTTTTCTCTTCCTTTGATATAGTGTTAACCGAGTGATCGTTCATGCACCCCAGCATCGAGCTGCCACTTCCTCTGATCTCGCCTCCATCCTTATTCTCCTTTTGCCTACCACTGATTTTTTTTTTTTTTTTTTTTAAAGATGACCGGTAAGGAGATCTTAACCCTTGACTTGGTGTTGTCAGCACCACGCTCAGCCAGTGAGCGAACCGGCCATCCCTATGTGGGATCCGAACCCGGGGCCTTGGTGTTATCAGCACCGCACTCTCCTGAGTGAGCCACGGGCCGGCCCACTACCACTGATTTTTATTTCTTCTTCCCTCCCTCACATTTGGCCCCGCTCTATCCAGATGCCCTACTTCTTCACCTCCCTGGCCACCTTGAATTTTCCTCCAGCCCCCATCACTGAGTTGAGTGTTCTTCATATTCATCATCTCATGTGAAAAGAAGGTGTTCTCACAATTTTACAGGTGCGGGTAACAAATGAAACATGGAGGCCGACAGATTTAGTAATTTGTCCAAAGTCTGATAGCTGGCGTCGGGACTGTGGCATAGGCAGATACTGGAAGCTGAGCTGGGGCAATGTATACTTGTGACTGCCTCTCCAGTCAGCGGCTCCCATGACTGGCAGTGCTGTCCTTAACAGTTCACGGCCCCTGAGCCTCAGCCAGCCCTCCCAGGTTCTTTCCCAGGCACTTCATAAGCTCCTCATGATGTAGGCTCCTCATAAAGTCCAGAGCTAAGTTCTTACTTCACCTGCATCTGAGTCAATCTGGGAAATTTTTATTTTTTTTTTTATCTCATCGCTATGTCCTGCCTTGTTATTCTGGGGATTTCCACTGGTTCCAGAGAACCAGTCAATAGGTGCTATTGTAAGAGAGTACTTGGGTGTAAAAATCCCATTTTCCTTTGTGCTCCCGTGATTGTTGTACAGCATAAGTAAAAGAGGTCCTGGGTCTGGCTTTCACAGAGATGATCATTGCCAGCACACCTGCCCTGGACATCCTGAGGAAACGAGCTCTGGCTTACCGGGTAGGGAACAGGAGGACTCATAGAGGTGGGTGCCAGCTTCTGGCTGAGAGGGCTCTCCCAGCAGGGGTTTTGGCTCCTCTGTCTCCCAGTGTGTGAGCCTGGACCTGGGCGCTGGCTTAGGCTTTCCCATGGTTGGCTCCTTATGCCCAGGCCTGTACAAAGCTTTAATATACAGTTTTAGTCAGAGGTTTTATATTGCAGAATATGTTACAAAGTCTTATTGGGATAAAGCAGAATATGCACCCATAGCCCATTTTAAAGAAAAAGAGGGCTGGCCCATGGCTCACTCGGTAGAGTGCGGTGCTGATAACACCAAGGCCGCGGGTTCAGATCCTATATAGGGATGGCCGGTTTGCTCACTGGCTGAGCGTGGTGCTGACAACACCAAGCCAAGGGTTGAGATCCCCTTACCGGTCATCTTTAAAAAAAAAAAAAAGAAAGAAAAGAAAAAGAGCTTAACATTCTATCAGAAATTTTTGGCCACCCTCATGTTTTTGGCAAATTGCTGTAATTTTAGCTTAGTGCCTCTTTCTGCAAGCTTTTGCATATCCAAGCTTCAGTAACACTTTATTTTGCTTGCTTGCTCTCTGAAGGGAGTGCAGATAACCATTAAAGCAAAGTGGATTTTGTGTCCATGGTGATGAGCCAAATATGAGTATTTTCCCAGTGTCTCCCTAAGACTGATTTTCATAGGAAAGCCTTTCCAGGCCCAAGTAAGTTTTTCCATGAAAATGGGGGGAAAGGGCCGGCCTGTGGCTCACTCGGTAGAGTGCGGTGCTGATAACACCAAGGCCACGGGTTCGGATCCCACATAGGGATGGCCGGTTCGCTCACTGGCTGAGCGTGGTGCTGACAACACCAAGCCAAGGGTTGAGATCCCCTTACCGGTCATCTTTAAAAAACAAAAAAAGAAAGAAATATTCTTATTGC